GGCAAGCCAGCTTTGATGCCAAGCTGCACCCGCGACAAACCAGATGCAACACGCGCCCACTGCGCTGGACTGACCAGCCCCGAACAATCCACAACGTCGGTGAGATCGCCAGTTCGCCTGAGAACTGCTCGACGTAAAAGACCACGACCTGGAGGACATACAGTCGGACACAGGGCAGAAGAGCACCCATCAAGAACACGAGACCCCCGCCGGCCCAAACTGAACAACATTTCAGGGCACCCTCCCCCACCCTCCCCCAACCGACCTCGATCCTATACCTCGGTTCGACTGTAGACGCGCTGCTATGTTCCAGTGCCCATCCTCGGACGCGCCTGTGAGGCGCAGCTCCATCCACTGGCCCAGCCCGCGCGGTCACGGGAAGCGCGGCAACACATGGACGCTTACCATCCAGCGAAGCCCTGCGGCGGAGGATCAGGAAAAGGGGGAGGGGGAGGGAGGGCGGGGGGGGCGGGGAGGAAGGGCGGGGCGCGCGGAACGCTACCCAGCCGCCAGCTCCTAATTAATCAGGTGCGCCTGGGCGGGCGTCCAAGTGAGCCTGGAGGGCGGCCCGCCACGCCGCCTCCGCGCCGCCCTCGCGCGCCGCCGGGAGCAGCAGCAGGCCTGCGGCCCGCGGCGGCAGCGCTGGCGCCCAGCCTCCGCAGGGGCGGTTGGCCAGGATTGCCCAGTCGGGCGCCCAGCACCCGCACCACATGCAGGCCACCCACCCCGGCCCCTGCGAGGCGACGTGCGCCCGCCAGGCGCGCCCAGCGAAGAGCGCGCGGGCCGCGGCGGCGGGGCTCGGGCGCGGCGCCGCCGGCAGCGCCCGCCTCGCGGCAGCTGCCGCGACGGCAGCGGCGTCGCCCACGCGGGGTTCGCGGCGCCGCGGACCTGGCGCAGCCCACCGGCGCCGGACGCGCGGCGGCGCATGGCCGGAGCTGCCGTGGTTGGCCTTCAGCACCGCCAGCTCGACCTCGGCCAGCATCGCCTGCAGTGTCCGGAGGCGCGCAGCGTGACCCCTCGGGCTTGCACCAGGGCCGCCGGCGGCATCCGCGCGGCAGCCGCTTGCCCAGCCAGCCGGTCCGCGGCGGCGTTGCCCAGCTGGTCCTCGGCGGACACTCCACGCGCCGCCGCGCCGTCTTCGTCGAGGTGGCCCTTGACCCACCGAGCCGACAAGAGCCCGCAGCGGCAGTGGGGCGCGACGAGCTCCCACAGGTCAGAGTGCGCCCACTCCCGCGGCCTGGCGCCCTGCCGGAGCGCCGCAACACCGTCCAGGACGTACTGCGAGTCCGTGACGACCTCGAGCGGCTGCTGTGCGGCGTGCAGCGCCTGCGCGACTGCCGTGAGCTCGGCGCGTTGCGCGGTCTGCGCCCCGTCGACTCCTCCGCAATGGTCGGTCTGCGCGCCTGCGGCGTCCTCGAGGCGAAAGCCGAAGCCAGCGCGGGCCGGCAACGGGTCCGTCGGGTGCTCACACGCGCCGTCAGTCCAGGCCCGGCACCGGACCGCGTCCTGCGCGGGGGAGCGGCGGGGGGAGAGCAGGCGCGGGGGCGCTGGCGCTGGCGGCAGCGGCGAGCGCGGCCGGGCGGGCGTCGAGCGGAAGCACCCCAGTGTGCGCGACCTCCGGCGGCAGGCGGGCCCGCACGGCCGCCGCCGAGAGGCCCCCGGCCACGAGCGCCGCGCGCCTCGTGATCGTTTCGGCCCACCGTGGGCAGTCCCAGAAGCGGCGCTGCCGGTCCTCGCGCGCAGCCCCGCAGTGCGGACACCGCGCCGGTTTGCCCCACGTCGCCGCCACGGACTCTGTGACCACGTTGCCAGACAGCACAGCACGCAGCGCCCCGGCTGCGTCCGGGGCTAGAGCGCCCTCCTCCAGCAGCCGGCGAGTGGCCCACCAGTCGACGCCCTCCCGCACGTGCGCGAAATCCGCGCGGCGGGCAGCCAGGACCCGGGCCTCGCGGCGCGCCCAGGCCTCGAGCAGGACGGCGCGGGTGTCCGGCAGCGGGCGGTCCTCCGGGCGCCAGCCTGCCAGCGCGGCGGGCACCCCTGTCCAGACCTCGACGTCGCCCCCCAGCCCGAGCTCCGCCAGGCTGCGGGCCGCGGCAGCCATCGGGCCCGCCCCGCGGCCATGCCCGGCAGCCATCGCCCCGGCTGCCGCGCGCCACAGTGCGGTGGGGAACCTCTGGCGGCGGAGGGCCTTCGCCACCTGCCAAAGCGGCGCGAGGACGACCACGGCGATTGGGTCCAGCCGCCAACCCGGCGCCAGCGCCCCGAAGACGATCTCCGCGGCCGCGCGAAGTCCGCCCGCCCGCCGCGCGCGGCCCGGAGCGCGGCGAGCTCGCGGGCTGGAGGCCGCCCGCAGGAGGCGCCGCACAGGCCTGCCGCAGTGCCCGCGGCAGCGCCCAGGAGGCAGCGTTGGCCGAAGCGCAGCGGCAGCTGTCCGATGCGAGCGAAGCGACCAATCACACCCTGCGCCCGGCCAGCGACCCCGCCGCGGCGACCGCCTCCGGCCTCGGCCGCCACCCCGAGGTTCCGGAACCCACTCTGGGCTTGCAGGCTGGGCGTCTGCTCCGCGAGCCAATGCCGCAACGCTCGGCTACTTGCAAACTGCCGGCTTTTGCCCCGGTTCAGCCGCCACCCCATTGCCGCCTCGAAGGCGCCCGTGAGGCGCAGCGCGTCGCGGACGCTCTCAGCGGCCTCGCCACCGAGACCTGTATCCACCCTGGCCCACAGCGTGAAATCGCCCACGTAAATGCGCCGGCAGAGTCTGTCGCCCACCCGGCCCGCGGCGCGCATCCACGGCCGCGCGAGCACGGCCAGGATGAACACAGCGAGGGGGCAACCGGGGAGCAAGCCACGTGTAGGGGTCCAGGCTGCCCCGAGAGCCTTGCCGACGCGGACGCGCCGACGAGCTCCGTAGGCAGCCAGCGCTGGCCGGGCGAAGCAGGCAGGGACACCCGCGCGCGCCAGGAGGCCAGGAAGCGCCTGCAGGTCCACCTGGTCATACGCTTTCCGCCAGTCGAGTGCGGCACCGGCGACCTCCTCCGACAGCGCGTCGGCGGCCTCCAACTCGAGGGCCAGGTCCCAAGCCAGCTCCTCAGCGCCGCGCCGCCAGGAGTCGCCCTCCCAGCTGCGCCGCCACCGAACGAAAATCCGGGCGCGGCCGGCAGCCCAGACACGATAGAGGACTGCGAAGCAACCAGATCGGCCGGCGCTCGAGCGGGCCCTCGCCGCCGCCCGGCTTCGGCAAGAGCAGGCCTTTCGCTTCCACCAGCTCCCGAGGCCGTCCGCCCACCGCCTCCACCGCCTCGAACACGCGGGCGATCCATCCGCACAGCTGCGCCGGCAGCAGCCTGAGCTCGGAGACCGTCCACGCGTCGAGGCCAGGCTTTTTGCGCCTCGGCATTTTCCGCAAGAGCCAGCTCACGAAGTCCCCCGTCCAGGGGGTCCGGTCAGGGAAAGGCGGCAGGCCGTCTAACTCCTGTTGCCACGCCTCCGGCACTGCCGCCGACGCCGGCAGCTGCCAGAGAGCGCGCCATGGGGCCCTCGAAGTAGCGTAACCGCGCAGCGGGGCCTCCCTGCAGAGCTAGGGCCCAAGTCCTGCGACCCAGGATCGGCGCCGGCGCCGCGGCGGCCCCAGCAGCAGGCGGCGCCGGCACGAGCTCGGCCTCCAGCGTCCCGCCTCCGCGGATCCATCGGTACAGGCGCCCTTGGCTGTTGGCCATGGCGGCCTGCGCCCAGCGTCGCCACTCGCCCCGCCTCCGCCGCCTGGCAGCGTTCTGAGCCTGCCGCCAATCAGCCTCATCACGATCGATCACATGGGCCGGAAACATGCCCCCCGGCGTGAGCGCCGACAGCATGGCCGCCCAGGCGGGGTTGCCAGAGTCCGCCGCGCGCAGCGCGCGGAGGGCGGCGCAGGCGGCCAGCGCTGCTTCGGGGGAGGCGCGGCCGTGCGCACGTTGGAGGCTGCGGAGCCGCCGGAGTCGCAGCAATGCCGCGTCGGCAGCTGCGTCGGCAGCGCCACCTCCGCCTCCGCGCGCCCTGGGGCGTTCCGACATCCAGGCAGCCGCCGCGAGAGGCCGCGCCACGACCGCCGGCCTGCCGAGGCGAGCCGAGAGCCAGGTCCGCATCGCCAGGCTGAGGACCTCCCACGCGCCATCGAGGGCCTGCCAGTCGAGCGCCTGCTGGAAAGCCCCACCGTGCGCTGCCTGGATGGCCACGGCCATGTCGCGGGCACACTGCGGGGTCCAGCCGTCGACGGGGGGGCCATTCAAGGGCGGCGCAGATTGGCGGATCAGCGCAGGCTCGGGGCTGCCCACCTTGATCGTCATCAACAGCGCCGCGTGCGCGGCCAAGCCGAGGCCCCATCGGAGCCCGACGGTCTCGACGATGTCCTGCGCCGCCGGGTTGCCCAGCACGTAGTCGATGCGC